AGAAATTTCATGTTTATGAAAATGCTTAAAAATGAAATGTAGATGCACAACGCAAAATGAAAAAAATGCATGAAATGTTCGAGGCATTGATCTAGAAAAGTGTCAATTATTATAAATAATCCTTATTTCGACAAAAATGTTTTATCTTGTAAGAGACATAAAATCAATCAAAGGTACATTCAGACTAAATCCTCTAGACCCCGAACAGCTTCTAGCAGGTTGACAAGTCTTCTGTTTTCATTTGTCACTTGTTGTATGCCTTGTTGGACCACTCCAGCTTCCCTTGTCAGGCCGTGTAGATGGCGAGCTGCCTTCTGTACTTGATCTAGGAAGTCTCGGATGACTGCGTCTCTGGCCTTCACCCTTTGTTGTACTTGTTCCCAATGGAAACGCCACTGTAAACATTCGTCGAAGGGTACTATCTGAAGCTTGCTTGCTTGCGTCTTGAACCCATCTACAATAGCTTCTAACTCAGCTATTGTTTTGCCATCTCTCTCATGTTGTTTCTCCAGATCAGCCATCCGGATTCTCAAGCATTGGTTTTGATGCTGACTGCCTGCTAAGTGCCTCTGGGCAGTCTTCATATATTCCTTCCAAGCTCTCTCATTCCAGTATTTAGAAGCCACTTTCAACTTGGAGTTATTCTTGACTTTATCTTGATACCCCTTTCTCAAGTCTTCGAGCTCTAAACAAACTCTTTTTTATTCTCTTTCTAGTTTATCTGCTCGATCTTTCTGAGAGTCAGCATCTAGATTCCACTGATAGCGCTCAGCCTCAAGTTCCTTTATCCTCTTCCCAACTCATTGTTCACAGCTTCAAACTCTGTTTTGGCTATCTCAATTCTAGAAGGGATGGGCCTGAGATGTTCCTCCATGGTCCGGGTGTCCTCACAGTCTGGCACCGAAATATTGTCATTTTTCCTCAATTTTCGCCACTCCACATAGTCCGGAGCAAGCATGTTTGTGGCAGCTACCACATCCATCCGGAATAGTTTATTCTATGAATTGACTGCTTCCTTGATCATCTTCTTATAGTTGTCACCGTGATACTCAAACTCTTATTTAGCTAGTTCGCATGTTGTTGGGACAAACTGACGTGCCCCATAATGTCTAAGTGCTAACAATGGAGCATACCCAACTGCATCCCAAAGTTCAGGTAAGGTCATAGTGTCAGAGTCCCCACATTGAAAAAGAACGTTACTGAGGAACAACCAGGGGGCTCTCCAAGTAATATCTCGGTCTTGATAGATGAGTGAAGACTTTCATCCACTTCTCTTTTGAAGTTCCTTCATGCCATTTCATGGTGACGAACTCTCTCAAAGGTGAATACGTAGTGCTAAATCGGCGGTAGGCAACCCAATTAGTCTTCCAGAAGTGGCTGTGAAACACATCCAATGAATCTACCTCCGCCAGCTCTTCGGCAATGGTTGAGAGACCGAAAGGTAGGTCTCGACTAAGATGGTTGGTGCTGGGTTGACTCGTTTCGGAAGTTGCTCAAACAGTTCTACCACGGCTAAGTCAATGCATCCCAAAATCTTCGGAAAGATGATCAAGCCATACAGACCTAGTGCAAAAAAGGTCTATAGTCTTCCATTCATCAGGGTAGTCATTCATTAGTTTCCTTATGTGGATCCACTGAATTCCTTGCCCGTCACACGAAGGCGTCGCTTTCACCCTCACTTAAAACGGGTTCGGAGCTCGGGTATAGAGCATTTGGATGAAAAATCTTTAAGGGCTGAAATCATTAAAAAACGGTCAGTACAACTATTTACTCGAAAATATAATCAAAAGTAAGTAATAAGGATCGAAATGTTACTTTAAAATTTAAACTTACCATTTTCATTAAAAAGACAACTGAAAATTACCTTAGCCTGACTCACTTACCTGTGTCCCCAGCGGAGTCGCCAAGCGGTCGTAACCGTCTTTCGGTTGGGCCCCAGAATTGGGTTTCGACTTGAAAAATGTGGATTGGGAATCGCCACCGATCATTTATTTAAAACAAATGGGTTGATCGGATACCCTATTTCTTACCTGATCTGCGTCTTTCCAAAGATGTGTCGGGTTCGGAAGTCGGTTACGGTCAAGGAAGGATTAGCACCCTTGAACCGCACTTTCGGTACTACGTAATTTCCAGTTGTCTTTGATTAAGAAAATTGCAAGTTAAATTAAAAGGTAAAATTTGATCCGAATTACTTACCTTTAATGAGTTTACGGAAATACCCTTAAAAAATTAAAATAAGATGTTAAAAGAAAATAATAATAATAAAAGAAAGTAACAAAACTAAAGAGTAAACCAAGGAAATAAATGAAACCAATAATAATAAACATAAAATAATTGGATGAAACAAATATTTTAAAAAATGAAATTGAATAAAATAAAATAAATGAAGAAAAAATATATATAAAAAAGAATAAAAAAGGTAAAGTGTTTTAAAAAAAAAGAAAAATAATAATAAGAGCAAAGAAACTAAAAACATAATGAAAATAAATAAATAGTATAAATAAAATAAATAAAATAAATATATAAAAATATAAAAATGTATGTATAATAAAATAAAATACTAAATAGTATCAATAATAATAAATAAATGAAAAATAAATATAATATTATTAAAAAAATAGTAATCAGAAATATAGAATAAAATGAAGTAAGAATATATAAATAGTAAAAAAAACATAGTAAATAAGTAAACATAGATAAAAAATAATAATATATATATATATATATAATAATAATAGAAAAATAATATAATATAACGCAAAGAAAAATAAAAAAAATTATAATAAATAAATAAATAAAATATAATTATATATATATACATATAAATAATAAGGGTTAAATTAAAATAAAAAAATGAATTAAGGGTCAAAATTAAAAGCCGATCGAAGAAAAAAACGAAAAAACACGCGGATCCACACAATCCGTTTATAAAAATTCGAATAGTTTTTCAAAAACACAAGCCTCAGAGACTAGATTTACAAAAATAGATCTCGAAAACGCCCCGTTCATCGGCCAAAAACACTTCTCTCAATTTTCTTTCGAATCAAAACACAGCAAGAGTAAGGAAAAATAACATGCGAAGGTATGAACTTTACCTTTCAAAATATAAATGCTTCGAAAAATGGCTACGAGTTGCTTGTACTTTTTTGCTTGGTATTTCGTATATCCTCTTCCGAATGTGTTACAATAGTGAGTTACAATGACTATTTATAATGCTTGTGGATCATATCTTTAGGAGTTTAAATAATTGTAGAACTCTATCCTATTTTTAGGAGTTTGAATCATAGCAAAATTCTGTCATATTTTTAGGAGTTTGAATCCTAGTAGGACGAAAATGTGTGTTGACAATTTTAAATGGTTATAAATTTATAAAATTTTAAGACATAAAAACTTATTATTTTAATAAATATATAAAAATTTAAAATATATGATAATTTTAAATTTTTAAGGGTGAATATTCAACCAGCCTATTTTATTCTATCATAACAACCGATCTATGTAATTACACGTAACATTACCCGCTTTGTGAGTACAATGTAATTACACGTAACATTACCCGCTTTGTGAGTACACAAATACTACCAAGTTACTCAAGCACCAAAAACACAAATTAATTATTTTTGTATATTACACAAAATATTATAAGATTAGATAATTTATTAAATAAACTGATAATATTTCATGTACTTAATATCTTAACATATAATTATACAAGACTAGACCCGTCCAAAAAGATGTGGAGGCCTGTGCTATTTTATAAATTGAGGTCTCAAAAACATTTTATAATAAAATAAAATTATAAAATATCAAAATTTACCATATTACGATTGTATTTTATAAAATTATAAAAAGAACTCCAAACATACGAAACTATGATAATATCACAAAAATAACTACCTAATTGTGACATTTTTTAAAATAAAATCATCATTCGAATGTTCTTAGAAATAAAATCGTGATATTTTTTTTAAAATATGGGCTCCTAGAAGGCCACACTTATCTATGGACCAACTTGCACAAGACATTACAATATTACATACTTCTTTACGATATATTACATAATATTTTATAAAATTTATAATTACAAAACTTGTAAGTTAGAGTTGCTATTGTGATAAGCAGGGTCAATCCTGATTATTTTTTAGTTCGGGGCAAAATTTAAAATATAGGACCTTAATTCAAAAGAAATTTAAGAAATATATAATATAAAATTTCTATTAATTTTTTATTAAATTAAATAAATAATAATTTATTACAATATTAAAAATGTCAAAATTATATTTAAGTATACAGATACTTATAAAAACATTACTCAAGTATTTCTTGATGCAAAATCATTGATGATATTGTCAACATCAATGCTTTCCAACATATTTTTCTCAATACATAACATAATACTTGGAAATAAAAGAACGATCTTATTTAGAATTTAGAAATATATAAAAATCAAAAGAAAGATTTTGGAAACATGATCTTACCTATAATTTTAAGAACAATCTTCAATTTGATTTAAGCACCACCATTGATGATAAACAATTGTGACTTTGTGTTTGTGAGATATATTATAAATTAAAAAGTGAGAGTAATAATCAATAGATGATCTCTCGGTCTCTCTTAAGGACACAAATTATGTATGCAGAGAGGATTTAAGATTTTATCTCAAGAATACCAACTTAGGGAGTTATATTAAATTTTTTGTTGAGTAAAATTACAAATTTATATGTTAAGAAACTAAATAATCAATAGAAAATACGAAAAGATACCTAAACTATGAGTATTTAAAACTTTTAGGAATACAATCCCACTCATCACCCCCAGAATCCATCACTATATGTATGCATGCTTCATGAAACTTTCGAATAACAGGTCCCTTTTCAACCTGCTATTACTTTCAGCATGACATTGTCCTGTTGGACGTGTGTGACCTTGACACATAATGCATCATGTAGATCATACTTCAACTAGAAAAAGAAAGTAAGAATATATGTATACCCTCAAAATATTCATAAGCATCAGATATTGATTAGAATTAATTCAGCAGTATGGCATTCAAATCTATACATGAAGATCTGATTTTCCCCTCAATCATCCGATGAAATCAAAACACAAAACCTTAATTGTTATATCCCGATAACTATAACTTAGCTGTCTGCTTCTCAGTTCCAGGAAGTAAAATACCTTCAAATTATGCGTGCAAATAGGGTCAAACTACCTTTCTTGTCATTTAGAAGGAAACTTCTGTTCCTTAGAAGGAAACCTAGGGGCAATGCTCAAATGGAAGGGTCTGATAGATTGGCTTATTGACTACGGTGGTGGCGGGTTAATAGAGCTTGGCAAGATGGTTTGAGCAGCTGAGCTGAGCAATTGGAAATGGTTAACTTGTTGTCTAGGATCAAGCATTTGAGAAGTTCCAGATGATAGAGATAATGTTGATGCCAATGGTAAAGGCTCAACATTGAAATTATGAAGATCTTCTGTGTGGGAAGCAAAACCATGGCTGCAAGCAAAGCTTGGAGGTTCAAAATGATAGTAAGAACCATAGGGAACTGTATTGCTTAACATGTCTTGTTGCTTTTCCCCTTCATTTCTTTTGTTCCCATCATCTTTCTCATTGGTCGTTTCCCTTGCAACTTCTTTGAACTTAGCTCTCCAACATGCATCAGAGTTCCAAAAGTTCCATCTCGGTAATTCGGCCGCAGGATCTTCCGAATCAACACAGGTACCAGTTTTAAGCCCTTGTTTGTTGGATTGGGAAGGACCTGGTTCTTGAGAAGTACTACTACTTAGAACCATCTGATGGTTAAAGGCAAAGTCCCCTTGTGGTGGCCATGGGAGTGGAGGGAGTTCATCGATTTCGTGTTTAGCTGCATCGAGCAACCAATCGACAACCTTGCTAGGCTGATTAAGTCCGAGCCTGTCTTGAAGATTATACAATTGAATAGCAGTGGGAACTGAGAGTCTCACCCTTCGGTCTCTCAATCCTCTAATGGTGAAAACTTTACTGTGCCGGTCTTTTCCCCCAAAGGCACGAGAAACACGTACGACTCGTGGATCCTTCAGTCTTAACCATGGGGAAGAAGAGCTAGATTGGCCAGTACTGCTCAACTTGGTATCATTTGTGTTGCTTTGTTGTTTGCTGGAAGAATCTGCTTCCTTTGAACTTGCATTCATCTTAGGTCTCTCATTATTGAAGCATAAGGCAATTGAATACCTGTTGAAATGAAAAAACAGAAACAAAATTCATAGAGAGTATAATCTGTAGAAGAAGAAATAGATTTCAGTCAATAGGTACTCAGTTAGATCACTGAGTGCGTATATATATGTATGCATCTAACCCTAATTTTCATATCATTTTGTCCTATAGAAATTAAAGCTCATACTAGGCCTGCCTGATCAGTGTACAAGAGAAAGCTATAAGACAAGATGAGGATGTGAAGCAGATCTATTACTAAAATAGAGAGATTCTGAAGAAAGAGCAGATTCTTTTGAATTTTACAAGTCATTAAAAGAAATCATTAGGTATTCCTAGGCAAATCTGAAAATCAATTAAAACTTAAAAAAGGAAAAACATCAAACATTGAAGTATAGCAGTTAATGCCCCTTGAACAACCAAACTCGTTGCCTGTATATTGAAAGATCAAAATTTTCTTGCTTTTGAGAACAAACCTTATTGATAAAGTTCTTCCATTTGAGAAAAAAGGAAGAAAGAAAAAGAAGAAAGATGCTGGAATTTAACCGACCATTGTCCATGGAAGAAATGAAGAAAATAATTAAAAAAGTCAATGGCAGTAGGGTTGCCACGTGTCATATTTCACCATATGTCAAGCATATTAAGCAAACCATTCCCAGGTGTTTAATATTGAGAAATAAGGGAGAGTATAAAGACCGAGATAAGATTTTATGTCATGAGATATAAATTCAAAATGTTATTTAAAAATTTGTGAAGTTACAAAATTTTAAAAGGTGTAAAATTACATCGTCAATAAAAGATACAAAAAAGATTATTTAAACTATAAGAAAATTTAAAATTTCCGTGAAACATTTCTTCGGTCCATCTCTAAGGTAGGAATTATCAAATTTAAGAAAATGGATCTAATCTTTATTATTTATAGTTTTGAGAAAACAAGAGTAGGGAAGATGGCGTAGATTAAAATCAACACTCTCTCATTTGGTTTTCACAAAAACAAAGTGAATATAAGATAAGATGGGGACCATGCTGCATATATTTGAAAAAGTAATGAGAGGCATGCATGCTTTATCGACAACTACAAAAGAACTTGCGACTGAATCCCTATCACATGGTGCTGTTGAATGCACGCCTAGCTACTACTAGGGAAGATGTTCATGTGACCAAAATTTAGAAGCTTAGTCCTTTGGTTAAGTATGATAAAAACTTATGGTGTAAAGAGGAATAGTCAATTTGCTGGTGTTTTGAGAGTTACTTGAGACATTAACAGCTACCTTACAGGATGGGGACCAATGAATAGGTGCATCCGCTAGAGTTGAAAATAGGACCAGACAACTTTTCTTCAGGGAGATAAATATGCATGGAGGACCGGCAAGTTGAAGTAATTGGAAACCTAACATTTGAGCTAAAATAATTATAATAAAACAACTTGAATGGAATCAATTCGTTTGCTCATCTGGGATTTCAATATGATATACCAAATACTATTTTTCTATATGTAAAAGTTTCTTCAGTGTCTATCTTGTATAACGTATATGCAATGCATCTTCCAACACAAGCAAAAATAGAAACCCTAGGGCTACAGATCTTTGTGCAACTTTTCAGTCAGTGGAATGTGATCAAATGGTTGAAAAGATATGAAAAGATGAGAATCAGTTGGTTCTTTCTTCTACTACTTCTTATAGTTGTGCTGCAAATATATACCAACACTTCTTGTCTGGTTTTTCTTTGACTAAGGGAAGTATTATGTGCATCATTTAATGGATTTTGAGATGAAGATGGCATTGCAGCACTCAACCGCCAGTAAAAAAATGTGGGGTCCGTATTATTCGCAATCATTGAGCAAAAAGAACATATACATGCAATCAAAATATGGAAAGAAAGATAAATCAAGTGACTTTGGTGGTAATTTTTTTTTGTTATTCTTTGAGGTTTTATGTTCGAGTATCAGGAATATCAGGGTATAAGTATTCAATATCAAATGATTGATAATTATCTTTGAACGGATACTACCTTATATTTACCCAGATTAATAAAAAATGAATGAAAGTAAGATGGAAATGGAAGAAACCAATGAACCCTAATTTTATTTTTCAAAAGTTGAAAATAAATTTTGAATTGTAAAAGCATAAGAGCTACGAGACATAACTTTCTACCATAAAGCAATTACTCACGCCTTTATTGCCCTCTCTATCTTTATCTCTCTCTCTCTCTGGGAAGTAGAAGATCTTTAAAAATGAGAAAGTAAGAAATTAAGCTCTCAAACCCCCAAAATACATGTTTCTAAGTAATATACATATGTAATATATATAAGGAATGGCCGTGAGGGATTAGCTATTTTTAATTATATAAAAAAATTCATATACTCTGTAAACGCAAATGTTTTAACTTAAAATTTCTTAAATGGATAACGCTCTCTTCTATATCGAGACCATTCAATGGGTTTGAGGGATCAACTTATTTATCTACTCCTGTATTAGGTGATTATATGAATGGGATGACTTTGTTTCAATGGATTGAACCTTTTTTTACTTAGAGAAAAACGATAAAAGAAGATCATATTATAACTTTAGAGATAATATTATTAGAAAAAATAATCACATATTCATTTTAAATATAGGTCATAAAAACGAAAATATAATTTTTTTTTGTTGCCCTCCAGTTCCAAGGTTTCATCTTGATTAATTTGGATTGATCCGGGTCGCACACCTAGCTTTTCTAGTGAGTCTCCCAACGAGAGTTTTCTGCATACACAATGCCTCAAACCTGAGACCTTGCTTAAACGATATCAAGATGCTTACTACTTAAACCAGTTGGTTTTCTTTTTAAATAGGTTGTAAGCAAAGTTTCTTTAATTTTCTCCGCTTTACATCTTTGTTTGCAGGAGGGGAGAAAGGGATAGGTCAGAAAGTTTCACAAACTGTTACGATCGACTGATAAAAAGCAAAATTATTGCTGAATAAATTGTCCCCAAAATCCTACTTTACATTAATTACTTATAATCATATTTGAGTACTGAATACTGATATATATTTACTAAGCCCAAAAAGAAAATACATGTTGATCTTTAGTACTAAAACTTAAATATTGAAAATACTTTCTTTTTTTTTGGCTAAATACAAAAATAAGTATCCAAACTATATCGTTTTTTCTAAAGAAGTGTCTAAACTATTTTTTTGACTCATCAAGGTGTCTAACGTTAAAAACGTTACCCATTTAGGTGTTCGGGCCGTCAACGACATTAATTCCTCTGTTAAATAACACATGTCATAATCTGGTTATTTTAATTTTTTTTTTAAATATTAAAAATATTATGATATTTATAAAAAAACACTAACTTTTATTATATTATAAAACAACCCCAAATCCTAACCTTAATCCATCGTCGTCGCTCTTTTCGGCCACGACCACCGCCACCGACATAGTCCCTTCCATCCTTCTACTCATACGTCGTCGTAGTTTTCGTAGATTGGCCACCGACATCGCATGGGATCGCGATTTTCATCCTAAGGTTCGCGGGGTATAAAACGTTGTTTCGTCGTTGATCGATCATGATTTTCATGAGGGTTTTGGTCGCCAGGGGAGGGGAGGTTAGGTGGAGCTTCGTCGATGGCAAAAGGGCGGCCGATGTGGGTTTATGAGTTGAAATGAAGGTTTTCAAAGTTTTGGATTTATTTTCAAAATTTGCGTTTTCTTTTAATATATATATATATATATATATATATATAATTTTTTAATTTTAAATAAATTTTTAAAATTACCAAGTTATGACTTGTGTCACTTAACGGATGAATTAACACCATTGAATACCCTAGCACCTAAATGGGCAACGTTTGTAACATTAGGCACCGGAATGAGTCAACAAATAGTTTAGACACCTATTTGAGAAAAGAGGTATAATTTGAACACTTATTTTGATATTAAGCCTATTTATTTTGATAGTAGTAAATCTTGACGAAGAATGGATACAATAAAAACACCAAGAAAAAAGGATCCATAACCCTAGTAGAAAACTTAAGTATGATTAAAAAGATGACATGCGTTGCAAAATCAAATTACGATTTAGAGTGATTGTAGTCGATGGTCAAAGTATTATAGTGTACCATTGAAAACTTTAAATGTATTTTTTTTTATTAATGATCTAATTTTTTTAACCTTTATAAATTTTAATTTCGCATTCTTTGAATTTCTTATATATCTTTCTAAATTCATACCCGTGATATAAGATCGTGTATTAGTCTCTTGTACAGATTAGTCAAACAAGATTATATTGAATATATTTTATGTTATTGTTGTGCTCGCAATCAATTTTGGATATAAGGTTGTGGGAGCAAATGGTTGTACAAAGAGCAGATTTTAATGTGATACTCTATTCATCGGAATCTTTACTTTATAGTTCATAATAATATAGATGAGATGATGAATTTTGAAATTGGGGATGACGGACCGCTTATTTGTAGGGTCTATTTTTACTTATCCAATGAGCAGTATGATACACATTTGGCAAAGGAAGTTAGATACACCAATAGTTAATGCTTAGAAAAAAATTTCTTCATCCAAGTAGAATTTTTTAGCATTGCACAAATTTTGATAAGGTGGGATAAGAGTATTAGGGCCAACCAACTTTTGAAAAGTAATTTTTAAAAGTGCTCTAAAAAAAACTTTTTAAAAGTACGGTAGAAAAGTACATTTTAAAATTTAATTGTTTGAAATTGTTGTTAAAAAGTAAGTTAGAAAAGATAGAATGTTCATTATAGATATTATGTTGTAAATTAAAAATATATCATTCAAATTATATTTACACTTATTAATACTAAGTAATAATTTTTTTTGAAGGATGTTAGTATCAAATTATTAAAATAAAATGAAATACATAATTGAGTGGAGCTCATGCATTAGTAAGTGTAAAATTATAATTTGATTCCAAACACAAAATTAAAACTGAAAAAGCTAAAAATCCTAGTTTTTGCAGTTGGTTTTACACCACGTTTCCATCGCAATTTCCCCCATTTTTTTACCGTTGGACATTAATTTTACGGT